AAAAATATATTAACCTAGTCATGCTGAAATTCGTTCAAATCCTGGCATGTCCTTAAGTACCCTCTTATAGTAACACCGGTGCTGCCAGCTAAAACACACGCACCAACAAAAATAATAATGGAGTAGCCCAAGACAACCAAAGATTGCAGTGCCACAGCAATAGTGGAATTTAAATTTGCCAACTAGAAAGCTTTTGGTTACATTGACGTTTCGGTTGATCAACGTTCAGATAATCGATGCTGTACTGTATATTAAAAAATTTTTTTTTTGTTTACAGCTCACTCTATAATTAAAATTAATAAACAGCTTTAAAATATCACTCAAAAGTAATTAATTAAATCTAAAAAACAACAGTTTAAATAAGTTTTTAAAAAATTATTTTTATTCCTTATGTTAATGATATACATCATGCTTAATTTTGTTGTTGTTTTTTTAAGTAAATTTAAAGGAGTGATATATTATGGTTTAACTATGAGCTATATTATGAATGCATGACGCAAATTGGAATTTGTTTAAACACTAAAAACCCTGAGTGAAAATACAGTATAAATTAATTTATACTGTATTTTCACACCCGAAAAATAAATTTATATGCACATGAATCATTATGAACATTGAATTTGTGCAATAATTTGTTTAATAATAACAATCTTTCTTTAGCTCTTTCTTTTTGCAACAATGATTCTCTAATTGAATATTCTTAACAGTTTTAAGCCTTTTTCTGTTCTTATGTCCAACCATCTTGTGGCGGTTCTCAAGGTCAGACTCCTGTTGTTGGGTGTAAACAAATTTTGGCAGCCATTCTGGGTGCATTCTTTCAACAGAATCCAGCAATCTAATTTTATGGCTTTAACACCACTAACTGCTGTATAACATTGGGCTATATATGCCGATGTTATACGGCAGTTAGTGATGTTATTGTTATGTATTTGGTTTGTTGTCAATGTTTATATTTATATTTTGATGGCTTTAAAATTCCTATTATATATGAGACACGGTATAGTTAATGTATTTCTGTGAAATGTGACAACAACAAACTAAGATGAAAACAGCTACAGCATTTTGAAAACACAAGTCTACAAAGAATTTATGATCCATTCTAGACTAATGAATGACCAAAACACAAACAAACAAATAAACCACCACATTTTCCCAAATATTGGTTAATGTTTTTTCCAGTTTTAAAGGAGCAAAAATCACTCAACCTTGAGTCCAATTACAGTTTTCTTAAATTTAGATAACTGTCTGTGGTACATATAAGTTAAACTGACACTAAAATTTGGTGTGTCAATTGTTTAGTAATGTTAAAAGTCCAGCCCTGCTTTAGCTTGCAAACTATGCATGAAAATTTAGTGTTTAGCATGAGTGTAAGTAATCAATTAGTTGATTTTTTGAATGATCAACCAAACTAAGCCAAGTTTTTATAATATTCAACAGAATAAGTCAGTTTTGGTAACTTCTAAAGAAATTTTATTTTAGTAACTTTTTTTAGTTTACTCCTAGTTTTTACTATTTGAGTTTGAGTTACACCAAAATTTGGAAGAAAGTTACTGAAAATTTACAACAAAATAAATCTTACAATAAAGTATGAATTTCTATTATAATCATATTGAATGCAAAATTTATAATTAAATGTTTCAGGCTATAAAAATGTCTTAGACAGTTAGATAATAAGTGGTTTAGACCAGTGTTTTTCAACCTTCTTGAATAAGCAACCCCTTTACAAGTTAAAAAAATTCTGGTGACCCCAGAGCCATATTAAAACTGTCAGTAATTTTAAAAACTATGTATTTAAGTCTCTTTCTGTTGAGACCAAAATATTGATCAAAAACACAATTGTACTGTAAAATAAACAGGCACAGCCTTCTCACTAAGGTTGTAGTTTTTATCATTGTAGTGTAGGACCTACAAACACTTGTCTTTTTCTTTTAACCGCAACCCCCATGTAAGGCTTTGCAACCTCCCCTGGGGGTTGCGACCCACAGGTTGAAAAACACTGGTTTAGACAATAGAAAAAATAAATGTAATCAAAACACAAAGTTTCAGTTTCCTTTTTGATAATCATAAAACTGGAAGTACACTTTCCAGAATACACAAGATAGGCAAGAAAGCCTGCTACCAGGCACACAAAATATTGTTTTGATTTAATAATAACTTTTATTAATTTCATTTTTATAGCTTCTTTTTTGTCAATAAGTTGCTATTTGTTACTTATATGCATCAGACACCTATATTTGTTTTTTCTGTAAAATAAACCCTTGAGAACAATTTTCTAATCAACTAGGTGTGATTTAAATTTGTAAAATTTACTAAGAAAGCAATCAAAAATTTATTTATGTTGATTGCATTTATAAATATCTGGGAATGAAATTAATGAAATAAGTAACAGAAATAATGAAAAATGAAAGTGATAATGTATTGTTTCAATGACTTTGCCAAATATTTTTTAATGTAATTGCTAATTCTGTTTGCAAATGAAATAAATAATAAAAAGTGAACTTATAATCAGGCCAATATGATATATTAATCCAAATTTTACACTCAAAAAGTAGGAAAAGTGGGGCATGCCTGTTAACAGAAAGTAGTGTCAACAAAATAAAACAAGTGGAAACCCCGTCAATTATATCAATTTTAGTCAATTCATTTAAGTTTCAAAAAGTTGCATCTTCAATTAGAAGAATATATATATATAATATTTTCAATTAATTTTGGTCTTGTAACTAGTTTATTTCTGTCAGCATTGAATTTCATAATGACAAATATTGTTAATTTAATAAAGTACAAGATAATGAAGTTCAGAATGTTCACATGACATTCTGAAATCAAAGTTTACAAATATAATATTGTAATATATTATTTATTAATTAATGTAATTTGATATTTGAAAATTACCAAATAATCTATATACAGTCGACCCCCTATAATGCGGTAGATATGTTCACTTTATAAGAATTTTGCATTGTAGGAATCCTTAAATATATGAGCCAATCACAGCCAGGCAGTGTGCAGTTTACAGACTACGACTGTTTGAAAGGTTTTCTTCCATAAAATTAATTGATTCTAGACTAATTTGACTCAACATTTCCAAAACACGTATAATTTTTTGGGAATAATCCGTATAAACTATGCTATAAACAAAAAATTGTAGGATTACTTACTGAGTGTGCACCGTTCAATGACGCCATTGCTTAAGCTTGTTTTTGTCGCAGAGCAGCGCACCAAATGGCAGGCGTGTTTTCTGATAAGTTTTTTTGCGAAAAATTCGTTGAACTTTGGAGACATCATTAATACAAATAATTTTTATGGCCGTTGAATAAGAAATGTTTTTTCACAAGAAATATATAAAATTACAGTACTGTATTAGACTTACAGTATCTAATTTATATACTGTACAGACGATAATAAACTCAACTTACCCGCCTAAACTCTCCGTAGCATGTAAGTAGTTTGGCTGCTCGTCCACTATTGGTTCAGATTCGACCAATCCTGTTGCGACACGAGTCGGCAATGACGTTTTACCACATTATACGAGTCTCTTTTAGTGTCTTTATACAAATATGGTCGCAATTTTTTTGCCACAATATATGAATCCGCATTATATGAACCCGCGTCATAGGGGGGTCTACTGTATATATAAACCATTGTGCCACTGTTTGTATATCTGTCATGGTATGCCTAAAATGCACAATAGGGGGCATCCCTGGTGATGATTTTCAGCTATTATTTAAATTAACAGTATAATTTATTTATTANCTAGTTATTGATTCACGGTAGTTCTTGAACAAAAGAAAAAAAGGAAATGTCTACTAAAAATGTAGTTAACCTAACCTAACCGAAGCACTGCCATTGGGGTTACCTAGGTACACTTTAACCACCGGGTGTACTATGGTGGCATTTCGAATTACACAAAATCATTTTTTTTTTACACTGGCACCTATTTGTAATACATAAATCAGTTTGACCTAGGTTAAACTAGTTAAGTCTAAAGTATTTAGGCCAAACTAGATTATCCTAGGCTAAACTAGTACATCCTGACATGCATAGGATAAACTAGTTTGGCCTGAAATCAGGTTTGGCCGGTAACATATATACACTTTAATGATATTCATGAAATAAATGATTGAAGTATATATAAGTAACCTCACAATTAAGTTGAAATGACAGAAGAAATTAACAGAATCTATTGTTTTTTTTTTTCCAATTAGGTTGATTTGGTTTTTATGTATATAAAAGTAACTCCTTCCAGTGCCTATCACAATTTATTTTCTTGATTTTATCATCAAATAAGATGAATTAAATAGCTTAGAAAAGTGAAAATATACATCCATTATTTATTTCTTAACATTTACCAATCATAAGAAGAAACATTCAAATGTAGAAACTAATACTTTTTATCATCAAAATATTAACATTTATTTGACTATAGACATAGAAAGATTTAAAAAAAAATCATATGTTCATCAGCATTACTTATACACAATAGATTTATTAATTATGTATTAAAATAATTTGCCATCAAAACCATTTAAATTATATTATGTAATATGAAAATACATATTTTAATGAAAAGTTTTAAATATTTAGTAAATTTAATATTTCAATAAATTTTTAAATTAGATACTAAAAAAAAATATTTATTTTCAAATTACATTTTTATAATGCCATCTTGCAATATTTTCAAAGATGAATATTCAAAAAGATATTTATTTCACTATTTCACTGAAAATAATGCATTTTGCTAATACAATAAAATAACCAGAAACTTAAATTTGACCTTTGCTTTTATTAATACAGCATATGTTATAAATTTTCAAGAGTTGTTCAAAAAATTTAAAAATTATGATCTTTCTAACATTCTTGATGATATTCTACAGTTAATCTTAATAACTGTGTAATTTAATTCTTATGTAAGTTAGAGGTTTTGAATTAAAAAATTATAAAATGCAGCATATAATTCAGTAATACCTATATTCTAACTTTTTATTAAATAATATACATACCCTTAGCCTAGAATCTGCAACTGTCCATACTCGACTTGCAAAATCATTTGAAGATCCCAATAATAAAGATTCCTTCAAAAATAAAATTTTTTATAAATTCTGATAAATAAATTTATTAATATAAAATAAATAGTTTCACAATTGCTAACAGGAAGAAATTTAGAAACAGTATAAATTATAAGATAAACAAGCAGATAATTGCAACTAATTTGTATATAACATTAATTTATTCTTTAAAACTAAATAGAACACACAAACATATAGAATATACACACGTATATTCTATATTCTTTTAAAACAAACAAAAATACAGTACAATCTTTTTGAATATATATATACTTATATACATAGAAAGATCATACCATACTCTGCTATTTTAAAAACATTTTTATATAATTTATTATTTAACATTACAGGTATCCCTTGTACAGTACAACATGGTGTTATTATAACACAGTTTTGCTCTAACATGGTTCCCATATAAAACATCACAATTTTTAAGTGCAAACATCATCACTGGACTTTCTTTTTATTCAAGCAAGCATGCATGTCTCATATTTGCCCATAATTTTATAATATTGAGTTTCAATGTTGTTTTGTGCTTTTTGTCCAGTTTTCTATAATGAGGACTGACTGTATAATTTTTCTTCCTCTTTGTCCTTAGCTTTTCTATAAACTGGATATTGTTGTCATTGATGATAGTGCTCTAAATGAACCTGAAAGACTGTTGCTGTGTTTTGTTTTTACAGATTAAATTTTTAAAGATTTCTTAGGCAAACATAAAGGAATGAAAATATCAGATTTTATGAAAAGAAAGTAAAGAAAAACCAAGATGTTGCTGATATTTCACATTAAAGTCAACAGAAAGCTTGGATAACAACAATATTTTGGCAAAAAGAAAATGTCCTCATTTAATGGTGTTTAGCAGTAAAGAAAAAATTAATATTGCTATGCAATACTTTTGATTCTGATTGTTAGTTATTGATTGCTTTAATAAACATGTTTCTCTTGATTACAAAAAAGAATAGTATACTTTTGCTAACTTTTGGAACCTAACCCTATGTTTTGTACTAGCCCCATGTATCCTATAGCAGATTCCTATAACATGGTACTTTTTTGGAATCTAACTACCATATTATAAAGGAAATGTCTGTATTATTATTAGTTTGTAATTTGTAATTGTAATTAGTTTAGTTTATAATATAAAGATATATTGAGGCTATCATATATCTTTTCTTTAATATATCTTTATATTATCTTCAATATTATCTTTATATTATATAGTTATATTAGTTACATTTTGTAAGAACTAAATATATTACAATTTTTTTTGAAAACAGTAAGAAGCTGTATACAAGACTGTATTTTTCTATAAAGAAACAGTATACCTCTCACCTCTCTTATCTAAAAGTTTTGCTAATGATATTTTATATATCATCATTATTTATAGTGTTTGATTGTAATTAATATCATAATTTGTTTAAAACAGTGGTGACCAAATTATGGCTACCTATTAAATCTGACCTGAGGAACATGTTAATCTGGTCCACAAACATATTCAGCACATACATCATTATAAATGATGAAAATAAGCCTATTTGTGATACACACAGAATATACAAAGTATTTGTGGCCCACCTATCTATGACTTAGCATAATTTGGCCCATCAATCGAAAAGTTTAGGCACCCCTGGTTTAAAGCAATAAATTATTAGTATCTTGTTCTACAAACTCATTGATGTGATTCATTTCTTTTGCTTTATTTTTAAATAACTTTTATTATTCCAATTCTAATACATTCTATTTACAAGTTGATTACATATATCTTATAGAACAATAATAAAGTAGAAATTATTTTATAAGTAAAGTATTTTATATCTATGAAAGATTACTATTAAAATTCAAATACAGTAGACCCTTGAATGGATGGAAAAAAAGTCATTCCAGTTAATCTGTTACTGTTTAAATCTTGTATTCAGTAAATGGAACAAATATTCAAAGAAACAAAGAGAATAACAAACATGATTATCTATCTAACTTCATTATTTATAATAAAGTCAGAACAAATATTCAAAGAAACAAAGAGAATAACAAACATGATTATCTATCTAACTTCATTATTTATAATAAAGTCAATACAAATATTCAAAGAAACAAAGAGAATAACAAACATGATTATCTATCTAACTTCATTATTTATAATAAAGTCAGAACAAATATTCAAAGAAACAAAGAGAATAACAAACATGATTATCTATCTAACTTCATTATTTATAATAAAGTCAGAACAAATATTCAAAGAAACAAAGAGAATAACAAACATGATTATCTATCTAACTTCATTATTTATAATAAAGTCAGAACAAATATTCAAAGAAACAAAGAGAATAACAAACATGATTATCTATCTAACTTCATTATTTATAATAAAGTCAGAACAAATATTCAAAGAAACAAAGAGAATAACAAACATGATTATCTATCTAACTTCATTATTTATAATAAAGTCAGAACAAATATTCAAAGAAACAAAGAGAATAACAAACATGATTATCTATCTAACTTCATTATTTATAATAAAGTCAGAACAAATATTCAAAGAAACAAAGAGAATAACAAACATGATTATCTATCTAACTTCATTATTTATAATAAAGTCAGAACAAATATTCAAAGAAACAAAGAGAATAACAAACATGATTATCTATCTAACTTCATTATTTATAATAAAGTCAGAACAAATATTCAAAGAAACAAAGAGAATAACAAACATGATTATCTATCTAACTTCATTATTTATAATAAAGTCAGAACAAATATTCAAAGAAACAAAGAGAATAACAAACATGATTATCTATCTAACTTCATTATTTATAATAAAGTCAGAACAAATATTCAAAGAAACAAAGAGAATAACAAACATGATTATCTATCTAACTTCATTATTTATAATAAAGTCAGAACAAATATTCAAAGAAACAAAGAGAATAACAAACATGATTATCTATCTAACTTCATTATTTATAATAAAGTCAGAACAAATATTCAAAGAAACAAAGAGAATAACAAACATGATTATCTATCTAACTTCATTATTTATAATAAAGTCAGAACAAATATTCAAAGAAACAAAGAGAATAACAAACATGATTATCTATCTAACTTCATTATTTATAATAAAGTCAGAACAAATATTCAAAGAAACAAAGAGAATAACAAACATGATTATCTATCTAACTTCATTATTTATAATAAAGTCAGAACAAATATTCAAAGAAACAAAGAGAATAACAAACATGATTATCTATCTAACTTCATTATTTATAATAAAGTCAGAACAAATATTCAAAGAAACAAAGAGAATAACAAACATGATTATCTATCTAACTTCATTATTTATAATAAAGTCAGAACAAATATTCAAAGAAACAAAGAGAATAACAAACATGATTATCTATCTAACTTCATTATTTATAATAAAGTCAGAACAAATATTCAAAGAAACAAAGAGAATAACAAACATGATTATCTATCTAACTTCATTATTTATAATAAAGTCAGAACAAATATTCAAAGAAACAAAGAGAATAACAAACATGATTATCTATCTAACTTCATTATTTATAATAAAGTCAGAACAAATATTCAAAGAAACAAAGAGAATAACAAACATGATTATCTATCTAACTTCATTATTTATAATAAAGTCAGAACAAATATTCAAAGAAACAAAGAGAATAACAAACATGATTATCTATCTAACTTCATTATTTATAATAAAGTCAGAACAAATATTCAAAGAAACAAAGAGAATAACAAACATGATTATCTATCTAACTTCATTATTTATAATAAAGTCAGAACAAATATTCAAAGAAACAAAGAGAATAACAAACATGATTATCTATCTAACTTCATTATTTATAATAAAGTCAGAACAAATATTCAAAGAAACAAAGAGAATAACAAACATGATTATCTATCTAACTTCATTATTTATAATAAAGTCAGAACAAATATTCAAAGAAACAAAGAGAATAACAAACATGATTATCTATCTAACTTCATTATTTATAATAAAGTCAGAACAAATATTCAAAGAAACAAAGAGAATAACAAACATGATTATCTATCTAACTTCATTATTTATAATAAAGTCAGAACAAATATTCAAAGAAACAAAGAGAATAACAAACATGATTATCTATCTAACTTCATTATTTATAATAAAGTCAGAACAAATATTCAAAGAAACAAAGAGAATAACAAACATGATTATCTATCTAACTTCATTATTTATAATAAAGTCAGAACAAATATTCAAAGAAACAAAGAGAATAACAAACATGATTATCTATCTAACTTCATTATTTATAATAAAGTCAGAACAAATATTCAAAGAAACAAAGAGAATAACAAACATGATTATCTATCTAACTTCATTATTTATAATAAAGTCAGAACAAATATTCAAAGAAACAAAGAGAATAACAAACATGATTATCTATCTAACTTCATTATTTATAATAAAGTCAGAACAAATATTCAAAGAAACAAAGAGAATAACAAACATGATTATCTATCTAACTTCATTATTTATAATAAAGTCAGAACAAATATTCAAAGAAACAAAGAGAATAACAAACATGATTATCTATCTAACTTCATTATTTATAATAAAGTCAGAACAAATATTCAAAGAAACAAAGAGAATAACAAACATGATTATCTATCTAACTTCATTATTTATAATAAAGTCAGAACAAATATTCAAAGAAACAAAGAGAATAACAAACATGATTATCTATCTAACTTCATTATTTATAATAAAGTCAGAACAAATATTCAAAGAAACAAAGAGAATAACAAACATGATTATCTATCTAACTTCATTATTTATAATAAAGTCAGAACAAATATTCAAAGAAACAAAGAGAATAACAAACATGATTATCTATCTAACTTCATTATTTATAATAAAGTCAGAACAAATATTCAAAGAAACAAAGAGAATAACAAACATGATTATCTATCTAACTTCATTATTTATAATAAAGTCAGAACAAATATTC